CACACACACACACACACACACACACACACGGCCATCTCAAACAGATCAGATTTATGTGAGTGTTTCAATTCAAACCAAATGTCGGCTCCGTCTCTCTTCCCGTCTGTGTTACTCGAGCCTCACGGGACTCTGACATGAGCACAACGGAGAAGGAGAGAGAAGCTCGTGGAACGTTTGTTTTCGTATTCAAGATCATCTGTGATTCTCATTCAACCCACAACTGTAATTTAATTCCCACATGCCTCATTCATCAGGTTTTTTTTCCAGATGAAGGACAAAAAGAAGAAAAAACCAGCAGCAGAAAGTGTGTCAGTGGACTAAACAGTCATGGTTTCGCTAAAAATGTTGCATAACCTCAAAGGAGCCAGTAAAGCTTTTGGTTCAGCAAGATATCTGTCATTATAACAAAGCACAGCCTTCCTCTCCTACACGAAACTGGGCTTCAACCACCAAAAAACTCATTACATAAACTCTAAATATAGTCTACTGAATGTTCAGCATTTTATGAAGCGACTTACGAGCTAATAGCTCCTCGGGTTTTTTTTTCAACCATCTCTTCTGCTCTAGGCTCATCCATCTGAGTGTCTTCTGAAAATCCATCCTGTTGTAGGTCTTCTCTTTTTGGATTAATCCCGCTGTTTTGGCTCATTTGGATGCTCCTGGTTCTCTGGTTGGACTTGGCAGCATTAACCAACTCGTCATTGATAACAAATGTCAAAATCCAGCACAGGGCAAATAAGGCTGCACACAGAGGAACCCTCTGTGCCTGCATGGTCTTCTGGGATCTTTTACGACAATACTACAGTTTAGAGATGGTGTCTTTTCCAATGGTAAGTGTGCGGCACTTGGAAAAGCAAAAACTGGTTATCTGGGACTCGTCTGATTGTTTGTGAACACTAGTTCATCCAAATGTTTGGCGATTGCTGGAATCTGCTGGAGATGGAATCAGTAAGGCTGGTGTGGAAGTCAGATGTAACAGGGATCGTGGCTGTTTTTCTCTCTTCTAGTGGAATGGAATTCCGCTGACAACCCCCTCTGAGTGAGTGAGAAGGAGGATAAAACCCACAGAAAAAAAGAGGAGGAGACTGAGAGAGAGAGAGAGATGTTGTAAGTACACGTTCAACCATTCCAAAGATGTTTTTGCTCACCAAGGTTGCATTTATTTGATCAAAATTACAATTAAAACAGTAATATTGTGAAATATTATTGCAATTTAAAACAGCTGTTTTCTATGTGA